AAAGTAAGATATATGGAGCTGAAAGTGAGATAGTCCATCCAACTTTACATATTACAGGTAACAGATTTAAGCTCTCAGTTGGGGGTCATGATAAGAAGGAAGAAATTAAGCATTGGAGATAGCTTTTCTGAATGAGGTGCTAGTGGAGATCTTTTTACACTGTGCTGTATGACATTATGAGGCCTTTTGATTTTTGAGGCTTGGGGGAAAGCAGAACGCTTTAAGTCACATTGGTGCTTAGAATGCTAATGGAGTAGGGCCTTAAATATCTTACTAAAATTAGACTACTCTGTGTTTTCTTTGCATAACAAAAAAGGTTGTAAACTTTTCTGCATGAATGTATACCCCCCAAACACATGTCCTGTATAATATTTCTGTTACAGTCAAAAAGATGAAGAATGCATAAAAGGTAAGAATGAGCAAAAGTAACTAGACAGCATAGCAAATTAAATTTTTATGATTCATTAAACATCCGTAAAAATAACCCACCAAGGCTAAGCTCTGGGGTGGTAACTGGTGTATCTGCACATGGCCGGTGAATTGCATGGAGCTCAGCTTTGCCCTGCAGGCATCCATTTCTCTCAAGAGTCATGCAGGAAGAAGAAAACTCAGACTAGAGCCTCTCCATTCCATTGTTTGATGGGATTTTTAGGAGGGGAGTTATAAGCCAGAGATTAAGTGTTTTCCGTGCTGGGACTCACCTTTGGCAAAAGGCTCTGGCAGAACAGACCTGTTCGACCATGCTTTGTGCGTGCGCGATGCGCCATCTAGTGGTTAAGTGAACCTAACGTTAATGAAAAGAAAAATGGCTTTTTCTTGTCCTTTCTGCCTCCATACTCTCCACCACTTGAGTTAAGCAGCAGTAGAGGCTTGATGCCATAGGGTAACTGTTATTTGGGAAAGAAAAAAAATTATTTTCTTAGAACCCATATGTCAAACACAAATTATTGTGGGAGGTTAAAAAGCACTAATATTATAGTAATTATTCAAATCAAAAGTTGCAGATTGGCAATATACATTTGTTTGGCTCACAGAGAAGTTGCTTCCATTTTATTTTACTGAGGTATAATTGTACTGAGTGTAGTGCACAAATCTTCAGTATACAGCTTTTTGAGTTTTTCCATATGTATGACCCATGTAATCCTCCCCCAGATCAAGATACGGAAGTTTCTAGCATTCCAGCAGCCTCTGTCATCCCCCCTCCTGCCCAGTCCTCCCTGAAAGATAACCGCTATTATGAACTCTATCACCATAGATTCATAATGGCATAATTAAAGTACGTACTCCTAACCTCCCAGAAAGTCAAATTCTGTAATCACTAATTTAATAGTTTGTCCGAAAGGGGACAGTTTCCTCAACTATGGCCAAACAAAGGCTCTGTTTCCTGCTTTTACTGTTCTTCAGGGTCCGGGTGTCATATTATTATCTCTCTCCCCAGTCTAAATTCCTAATATACTGTCTTCCTTACTCTCACTGGGAGATACATCCATTTGGTGCACTGATTGTATTTTCCCAAGTGTCTCTGCAGACAGCCAAGTCAATTTTCAGAGAAATCTCATTACTTTTGAGCAGCATCTCAGAGGTGTCACTCACTGATTGTCGTACACAGCCTGTGAATTCTCATATAGCATTTCAGAAATCAATGTGAATGCCATGTCGCCAGCAACTGCTCTGACACCCTGTTCAAATTAAGCCAAGCAGTAGCGTCAGTCCTAGCATTGTAAGGGTGAGGAAGGCTCTGATGCTATAACACAGCAAAAGCTAATTTATAATGAGTAGCATAATGTCATCATTGTTGCCGTTCATATAGGACCTCTTTCTGTTCGAATGAGATTAAATTATCTCTGAATGTCAAAATGTAGAGTATGTCAAGAAGCAGAGCTGGTGTTGAAATAAAATTGTCCAACAAACATTTTACTCCCAGGTGTCTTGCAAGGTGTGGGAGATAAAAAAGCAGAAGGTGTGTGGGCCTTTCACTGCCACGGAAGTGAGCCCTGTTTAGACCTCTTGTCCCCTTGCCAGCAAACTAGCGTTCAAAAAGTTCACTGCCTCTTAGGGTAACAAACAAGGCAGGAATATAGGCATTATCCTAATTTAGTTCTTTTTACAAATAACTCATATTTTTTTCTAATTATTTGTCATGAATTTGGAAAGTAGAAGAATATAAAGAAGAAAATCTAAAATTACTTAATCCTTCAGAGAAAGTATATAATGGCTGTGATTAATTTCTTTTAAGGAATTATGATTCCTTTTTTCTGTGTGTGTGTGTGGTGTGATTATTTTGTGGAGTTGAGATGATACCATGTATTTTCCTCTATTATTAGAAACTCTTGGAACATGTTTAATATTTTGAATGACTTCATAATTTCTAAAATAAGAATGAAAACTAATTTTTTTTAACCATTCCCTATTATGGAACATGTTGTTTGCTGTTTTTAAAATATTTATAGGTACTTTATATCTATGTATTTAAAATTAAGTCTTTAACATCATGCCATATTCAATGGCCAGAACCTCCAGACTAGTGTTAAAGAACAGTGGCAATGCTGTTCATCCACGGTTTGTTCCTGATTTTAAAGGAAGTAACTCTGGAGCTTATTAATAGGCTGATTTGAGAGGGTTAAAAAATCTTAGTAAGTCCTTTCAGTTCTAATTTTGAAACATCAAGAATGGGAAATTGAGCCTTACCAAATGTCTTTGGTGCTATTGAAATAATTAGTTTTGTACCAATTTGGCCTATGGATGTGATATATTAACAAATTTCCTAATATTAGTCCTCCTTCCCCAGAGTGATTTCTACTATATCATGGGTAAAAGTATAAAAAGTAAAAAGAAAAAAAAAATATAAAAAGTAATATAATGCATTTTATACTTTCAGTGAATGTTCAAATTCAATTCCATTCTATTGTTTTTAAATTTTTAACATATACGTTTATGATGCATTTCTTTGGAGACAACTAGTGTGGCAGGGTTAGAGATAAACTCTGTTAGTCTCATTCCAGTCTATGTGTGGGGGTGGCTGAGATTGGGGGTGGATAGCCTGTTTATGTCTATTTTTCATTCTCCTTTCTTTCTTTACCTCTTATCCCAACTGCAATAAGTGGGTTTTTTCCCCCTTTGGTGAACTCACAAAGTGCTTTTCTTAACCTCTCTCAAAGCACTCATCACGCTGTTTCTTATATTAAAATCATCTGTATATTTGTCTTCTGTTCTTATGTGAGTGGTTTGTATCTTAAATTTGAGTTTTCCACCCCTCCACCTTAGCCACCAAGGGTTGTTCGCCTGGCAGCCTCTCCTGGCTGCAGCACAGATGGTGGAATCGCACTTACATGAGTTTTACTGTGAACACTAAGATCTCCACACCAGCCCTATGAGCTGAGGGGGAGAGCAGGGAAGTAAGAGTGATTCCAAAATTATGTGGGGGCCATGCTCCTCTGTGGCAGTAATAAGGGTCTAGAAGACATGAGTCAACTTCCAAGGGCTTAGGTGTGGATACAGGCGGGGACCAGAGCAGAGATTTCATGTCTCTGCTCCAGGTGGCTGCTCCATTCTGGTTCTAGTTGTGGGTTACAAAGATAGCCAGTTACTTCGAATGATTTTTCCTAACTCAAGTACATTCTCTTACATACTCTTAAAACTAAATACATTTATTATACTCTGATAATTTTTGTAAAAAATTCTTCTAGGGCCGAGCCCGTGGCGCACTCCGGAGAGTGTGGCACTGGGAGCGCGGTATCGCTCCCGTTCCCGCCGCGGGTTCGGATCCTATATAGGGATGACCGGTGCGCTCACAGCGCTCACTGGCTGAGCGCGGTGTGGCCGGTCTCAAAAAGGACAAAAAAAAAAAATTCTTCTAATACTCCTTTCAAGGCATCACTTCAAAATGATGTCTCTCAATTGTCAGTTCTTTCCCAAGCCTTACAAAATTAAGGACTCTCTAATGGCTCCCCTAGTAGATGTAAGCCTGGGTCTCACTCATATTCAGTGCTTTGTAGTATGCTAGGCATATGGTTTATACTTAATGTTTCTGGAATTAATCTTTTTTTTTTTTTGCAATGTAATGTTATCTAATGGTATTTTTCACACTTATTTTAAGCCCAAAAGCAACTTCAAAGACCATACAGGCCTTTTAATAAGTAGTGAGATGTAGCATCACAACCCCCCAAATTAATGAAAATCAATGGAAGAAATGATGACAAAAGTGAAGTGGAAACCGTGTGATCCAGCAATTCCACTTCTGGGTACATACCCAAAAGATATATACTCAAAGAAATCATTGTACGCGCATGCCCATAGCAGCATTATTTGCAATAGCCAAAAGGTGGAAGCAACCCAACTGTCTATTGATGAATGAATGGATAAACAAAATGTATGTATACATATAATTCAGTCTTTAAGAGGAAGGAGATTCTGACACATGCTACAACATGGATATAGCATCCTTGAGGACATCATGCTTAGTGAAATAAGCCAGTCACAAAAGGACAAAAAATGTATGACTCCATTTATATGATGTTCCTAGAGTAGTCACATTCATAGAGGCAGAAAGTAGAAAGTGGTTGCTGGGGGCAGGGAGAATGGAGAATTATTGTTTAATGGGTACAGAGTCTCAGTTTTGCAAGATGAAAAGAATTCTGGAGATGGATGGTGGTGACAGTCACACAACAGTGTGGATTTACCTAATGACACTGAACCGTACACTTGAAAATACTTAAATTAGTAAATTTTGTGTTGTGTATTTTACCACAATTTTTTAAAAAGTGAATAGGGAAAAGTATACTAGTCAAGCTCGAATCAGAATGAAGGTTATCCTGCCAGGGCAATAATTCAGGTGATGACTCCTCTAAGTACCTGGTCAGCTTTCAGATCAGCTTTTTTTTTTCCCAGGGAGGGAGTAGTTAGGGGATATGGTTGACCTCGTACTTCTGTGCAGTAACTAGAGTTCCTTTGAAAGCAAAGTGAAATGTTGTGTTCTATAATTACTTTCTTCTTTTCCTTAGGGTGTTAAATACCACATTATTTGAAAGTTGGGAGATCGTTGGACCTTACCCTTCCTGGTGGGTTTTTAACCTACTGCTGTTGCTAATACAAGGGTTGAACTGCTTTTGGTCTGTCTTGATTGTAAAAATAGCTTGCAAAGCTGTTTCAAAAGGCAAGGTAAGATAAAACTCGCCCTTTCCAATGTCCCAGAAAATGTTTTTTTGGTTCCTTTGAATCAGCTATTTACTATTCCAAATTTATCAAAAGTGGTATTATTTCTTCAAAATTGAGCAAAATCACCCCAAAACACAAACCAAATTTTCATTTTCTTCTCTTTTGTTCATCCTTTTAAGTCTTTAGTTTCGCTTTGCTGATGATGATGCCCAGTGATCTACATCTGTAATTTTAGATTTAATGATGATATATTATTTACTGTATTCTTTCTCTCCCTCTTTCTGTATCCCTTGGTCCTTCTCTGATTATATTTACACTGAACAGAAATTTAATAGCTTCTTTCTCTTTATGAAAAAAGCTATGGGTGCGGTATGTCCATTTAAACAAAACTTTTTTTCAAATTGAAAAATAAATCCACTCATGACTTTTCCAGCAACATTTAGTTATATCTCTGGTTGTAAAAAAAAAAAAAATGGACTCATGAGGCTAATTGTAATAAAGCTTCCTGAGTCTCTTCCCTTCAGTAGGGCAATGACTTTTCCAGATAGTTCTCTGTGACATTTTCTTACTTTCGTTGTTTGTTCTCTTCCTTCTGCCACCCTGGAAGGCTGGGAAGTGGAACCCTTTACATGTAAGTTTCTCATGCTCTCTCCCTGTCCTGGGTGCCACTTGCCTGTTGGAGGGGCACTCAAACGCTTTTGTTTCCGTACATGTTGTTCTGTCTGATGGCACTGACTAGAGGCTTTATGTGAGGTGGAGTTTCCATTAGCTGCAAGGGATGCTAGGAACCGCTCTGTTAGTGCCCTTTTGTGTGAGTTTGTATTCTGCTAAATTTTGCATGATCCAACAGAGGAGAGGAGTTTCTTTCATTGGTGCTTAACAAGTTGGCTGAAAGACAGAAATAGAAGGTGAAGTAGTTGATGACAGGTTCAACCCAGTGCAGGATGGAGGCCGGAGCAATAGCTGTTGGCCTCATCTCTCTGGGGCCACAGGGCAGCACCAGGCCACTTTGTCCCCATCGAGGTCAACAGACCTGGCCCATGCCACAGGGGAAGTCGGGGCATCTAGGCATATACTTTGAAGCCACTTCTCAGCATCAGCTCCTGTGTAAGTCCACAAAATGTTGATCAATTAATTGCTTAGAAACTAAAGTTTATTTTTCTTTGTGAGCTCTTACTCTTTAAAATGAGCTCATATTTCCTTAGAAAATTTTCTTGTCCTCATTTGGATGCAGATTAAATCAACGTGCACAATACTCTCAGTATGGTAATAACTACAGATGCACGGATGCTGTGAATTAGGTTACTCATATCCTTATTGCATTGCTATTTCCACCAGAAACTGTCTTCTCTCCAGCTTATTCCTTCAGCATTATGAAGAGATGATCATTAATTTTGTTCCAGATGTCAGGCTTTAGAATATCTTAACTGCCACTGCTGCTGTCACCTAGGACAGTAAGATTCAACTTGGCCATGGGTTATTTTCCTGTGCGTTATTTTGAGATATTCTTAATTGTCTTATCTTTGAAGGTAACATAAGTATAGATTTTCCCAGATGCCATTTAAAGTAATCTCACTAAGCATGCAAATGTAAATTAATCACTCTCTGAAACTAGAGTTTTCTATTAGCAGCTTAATTTATGACTAATAGACTGATAAACATAGTGCAGTTTTACTATAACACTGTCAATGCTGTCTTTGCGACCCTGTCTATGTTTTTCAAGTTACAGTAGCCTTATCATGTAGTCATTTTGATGTCTCAGTATCTAAATCTTTTTGGAAAGGGTCTATGTGAATTCAGTCCCATCTCAAGGAGCATTGAAGTGAGGTTCATTTTTACAGTATTTACTGTGTCACTGGTTGGAATGGAGCAGTAGTTCTCAGCTTTTACTTTCTCCTGTCCCCACCCACCTGGAAGAGATGACATTCTCCCCTAATAACTGTGTTTTCAAGTTGTGGGTAGATTCCAGGATTCTTAAGTTGGAGTGTGGTATAAGCACAGAGAAAATGTGATGTGAAAAAATCCCAGTTAATTCTGTCTGATATACCTCCCAGGAGACTTTGCCAACCTCCCCAGCCAACCCCCTAGAGAATCACAGGAGACTAGATTGGGGAAGTTTCCATGAAGCTAGGCCACCAGGTCCCTTTTGCCACTTCAAAAATAATGTTGCTTGGTTATTGGAAGATCTTAGGGCCTCCTGGGTAAAAACGCTGACCATAATTTAGACATATAGAAGAGGAGATTCAAACTATTTTATTTTAAAAGCAGTAGAGTATTTCCTTAATTTCCCCTGTAATTACTTTATTGCTAGACAATAGGATTTTTTTCATCCTTTATGGTAATACATAGATTTATATCCTGGTGCCTTATTTTGCCTTCCTCATTATGCAATGAGACCGAATGGGGGTTTGAAGAAAGTTGGCCTGATGGGAGCCAATTTTTGATGGTCCAGTCAGTGGATTTTCCTCAGGAATTATTTTAAGCTAGACCTTACCCAGCAGGTTCTTAAAATGTCTTCTGCTGCCATTAGTTGTTATGTGATAGATAAAACAAAATTTCTAATTAATTTTAGCAGACAGAAAAGAAAAACAAATTAAATCATAAAATAATGCATTACAAAGCCAAATAGGAATGATTCTTTTTTTAATGATTTGAACGAGTGAATATCTCAAGTAGCGTGGTTAATTAAGAACTGACTTTAAATAATTCTCAAGGAGAATTTGATCATCAGAGAATAAATTCATTCATTTGTACCAAATTTTTATCATGCCATTCCAGTAGTACATTATGTCACTTTTTGGGTAAGAGTGGGATTCATAGTCTAATATATTCTCAATATCATCTAAAGGTACCTTAAAGAGGTCAGTAAGTCATCCCTCTGTAATGCCTAACCTGCCTACATTCCTTTGTAACTGACTTTGTCACCCAAATTGTATCTCTCCAGTGAAGAGGAATGATTCCTGTGACAGTGTTCTTATCCTCTGTGATTTTTTAACGTTTGGATCTGTTTACCTTTGTATATGACTGCATGTGCTTTTGAGCATGCCATACCTTGATGATTCCTTAGGAGCTGGTTACACTCACCTTCCTGTACTCCATAGGTGTCCAAGGATGATCGAAGCGATATCGAGTCTAGCTCAGATGAGGAGGACTCAAAACCTCCAGGAAAGAGCCCCCACACTGCAACAACCACCAATGGGACCAGTGGCACCAATGGATATCTCCTGACTGGCCCCTGCTCTGTGGATGACTAATTACTGAAAACTACAAGTCCCGAACAAAGTGAACTATCTGTTGCTGGAAGTATTTAATAAATGGCAAATGCAGTTCCTTTCATAATATCTCAGCACCAGAAACAAAAATTAGGATTATCAAAGCATTTTGAATAGTGCACTGCCATATGTCCTGTCTGTGAATGAAGAATTACCCTTCTCTATATGTAGGCATGCTGTATGTAATTGACACAAGGGAACAGTATTTGCATTTGTACTGTCTAGACTATTATTTATTTTTTGTATTTGTTTGTAAATCTGTGGACAAAAGAGGGTTTCCTTCCTCCTTTTACTCTCTGGGTTCATGACAGTGAAGGAGATGCTTCATCCGCTTCTGCCCTTTTCTCTTGCTGTAGTCTAGTGTGCTGTGAGCATTGGCTTAATTTGTCACTTAGAGCAAGCAAAACCCAGTGCAAGATTCTCATACCACTCCAGATAGGTTTGCTTTCTTTGTGTTATGGTGCCCATTTTGAAATTGCCTATGTAGTGTCAGTGACCATTCTCCCAGTGTAAAGTTTAAACAGGATGAACTTTGGTTTTTAATTGTCACTCTTCATGGTCAATTAGTAGTTCAAGTTAAAGAGGATGGTTATTGTAGGACTATTTTTGAATTATTTTATATTAAATTGCTTTGGAATAGACGTCATTTCTCGTGCACACAGCCAAGATTTCTTCAATGAGTGTGGTAGCTAACTGGGGGATTAAGCTTATAGGTTGCAGAATTTTATGACCTCTGATGGAATTTATGACCTCTAGCATGAGGACAGTGCTCTGACTCTAAACAAAGATATTTGCTTGAGCTCATAGTTATAAACAAAGAAATCACTCTTAGTATGAGGAATTTGTCCCATGTTCTGGGAATAAAATAAAGATAACTGATTTCAGCCAGGTTTTGCCACTACCCATATAATTAGCTCAGTCTTCTGTCCTATCATGAAAAAAAGAAGCTAAGTATATTTTGGGACAGAAAAGGAGTATTTCATGAGTTGGCAAAGATCACTTCCAGTGCAAAGCACTTTGTTGCAACCAGCTTGCAAGAAAAAGCCCTATCTAGTATTTGACCTTTGTGTTTTTATTTTGCTGAGCAAAATAAAGCCAGTGGGAGAAAGGTTATTTTAGTCTTTGCTTTTCTCCTTAAACATAACCCAGAATGGCCTTCCTGTTACTAGAAACTGAGCAGCATTGCACTTAGTTTTTTTTTTTTTTTTTTTCCCCTCTCTTCTTTGAAGACTTGTTTGGTTTCCAGGAATTTTTTTTTTTTTCTTTGAAATGGAGCTATTTCCAGAAAAACAACAAAAATTCTGTTGGACAATGGCGATATTTGCAATGAGGAGAATTACTGAAGGATAAGTTCCCATAAGGCTCCTATATGGCAGTGTTATTTAGGTACAGATAAGAAAACCATACGCATAAGCCAAAGATTTTATTTCCTTCTAACTTTCAGTAAGGGGGAATAAAAAGGGATTAAAATAGTTATTTCATAAAACAAAAAGACGTTTATCCAAAACAGGAGTCCAAAACAAAAATGCAGTAATATAAATGTGTAAATCAGAGCACGATTAAGACAACAGCAAAATATGAGTGCATGTTCTGCTCAGAGCCATTAACATTCAGTTAGAATTTTTTTAAAAATTAAAGCTTTATGTCCACAATTTGCAACCTGTGAGTTAACAGCTAAAAGAATGTTCCCAAGCAAAAACTTCTCACTGTAATATTAAATCTTTCCCCACCTATTTACAAAATAGTATGTTTGTGGTATGGTTCATAGTAATAACAGAAGAGGCTTGGAAATATGTCTGCTTGTTTATTGAGAAAACAGTGCAACTAATTCTGCGTGTCGAGTTTTATTTATTTATTTCAAAAAACAGGAGTGTAATTTGTGGATGGTTGAGTTTGTAAAACCAACCATAAAACACCAAAAGTACTTGTAAGTTATCAGAACATCTACTAAAATACATATACAAATAAAAAAGTAATATTAAGAATATTATAGCTGAAAGTTTGGAGAAGGTAAAAGTTTCTTATCAACTGAAATATGGAATATACAAAGGTATTTCAAAAAGTTCACAGAAAAATAGAATTACAGGATAGTACAAATTTTTCCATGAACTTTTTGCAGCGAGTCCTCTTGATGGGTGAAATAAACTAGAGAACCACAGTGTGTTCAAGGTTGGGACTTATGAAACTCATTAGCACAGAAGGATAATTTCAAGAAGACCTGTTTGTAAATTAATGGTTTAGAAGAGTTGCATAAAATGATGTAAATTGAGTCTGTCCTTAGCAAAGACAAATCTAAACAATCTTGATTTTCCCAGAAGTCACTTAGAAAGAGGACTGGAAATACTTGGAGCCTCTCTGACTGATGACATTAACTTGATACAGTCCTTTACATATTTATAGATTTTTATTTTATTTTACATTTTAGGGCCAAGAGTTCTTTTTGGCTAATTAAAATGGAGTGTGTGGGCTTTTTATGGTGTAGAGTAATATGTCTCTGTCTACTGCTCTCCCATGGTGGCATGATAAGGCTGAGAGAGAGAACTATATTGAGGTAACTTATATTCCACCTGTGCCAGGCCAATAGCTTTTGAAGCATACTTTGTAAATTCAACTGTAGGTTAGTGAAAGTGTTGTTTGTTGTTAATTAGGCTTTGTTGATATCTCCTTCCTCCTGGTCACCTTCAAACCTTCCTAGGGTACAAAGGAGTATGAAGAAAAGATTCTAGAAAAAGTAATATTTTGTTCTCCAATATTATAGCTTTTCTAGATCTCTTAGTGGAGGAAAAAGTAGGAAATCAAGTAGAATTTGGCCTTGGGTCAATAAATGATATGAAAATATATAATCTATGGATGTATGTGTATGTTTCTCCAAAAATATCGTAAAACCAAACATCAGACTCATTCTTATCCATATTCTTTCATAAAAATCGTCCACCAGGTGCAAGAGAAACTTCCCTCCTCTTCAGTCAGCCTCCTGGTCGTGCTCCCCACACTGCTGACAGTGACGGAATCCTTTCGGCCTCTTAGCCACAGAGCTAAATATGGGCGAGTCTAGGTCACAGAGCACCTCAGCTCACCATATAAGCCAAATACAGTTCCCATTTCCAAATTTAGTCCTATGGATGTTGGGAGTAGGGGAACAAATATCAGTATTTTGGATTATAAATGAAAATGATTGCCTCTTCACCCCAGGGTTTTGCTAACATCTTACTCCCTCTGGGCCGCCAGACAGATGGTGTCCTGAGGTACCGTACAATAACACCCCAGGCATGGGACAAAAATGAAAGTGGCAGAAGAGGTAGGCAAGAGGCAAGATAAAATCAGATCACCTTTCATCAAAACGGTGGGTGAACCCTGAAATGTCCAGTTCTGTTGCCAAACTTTCCATTCTGAGTATTTGATAGAGTTTGAATGTGAGCGAACACAGAATACCTTTACCTTAGGTAGAAAGAGTCTGAATATTTCACTTTGTATTCAAACCTCATTGTTGGGCTAAGTAAAAAGTGAGATTTCATTTCAGGTTACTTGAGTCTTAGCTAAAGAGCTCTTCTGAGAGAGCTTTATGGACACCATTGATTGTCCCTGTTCTGTTCATGATTTTGCATTAATAGTTATTTTTGTCCCTTTTTGGAAACGTTACTGGCAAAGTTGCCTGAATATAAAAAGTATGTGGAATAATTCCAAAGGTGTTAAAAGCGTCTGCTTATCAGTAGGTGTGATGTCATTATATCCAGAGAGGCTTCAAGAAATTCTTTGGAAATAAAATGTTAAATGTTTACATTTCGTATGGTATTTGAGGCCCTAAGGTTCTAATTAGCTTACTTTTTTGTTGTCTTTGGGTGATTTCTGCTTTGTAGATAAAGTAATAATAGCCCTGAAATGTTTCTAACATCCAAATAAGAAAAAAATCAAGTCAGGTCAAAGTCAGCCTAATGGGGGAGTAACACATGGCACTTTCACTTTCTAAGTAACTTGTATGCAAAGAGGAAGTCAGTGAGCTCTGGTTATTGTACCTGCCGTCTAGCATGCTGCCCATGGAAGGAAGAATCATGAACAGTTCAGTAATCATAGTTCCTGAAGAAAATGCAGCCAGATATTTTATTGGTTTTTATTGATTTTTATTTATAAATGAAGTTGTAGTTGTCCCCAGAGTCAATTTAGGTTTCTCTTGGTAAAATGAAATTGTGCCATCTCAAGTTACCACATAGTAATTAGCACTGGTTTACCCACAGCATTTTAGTTCTTTATGGTAATTGGCCAGAAAAAGGCGCTGTGGTTTGCCTTGGTGTGCACAGTCCCCTCCTGTCCCCTAGGGGTCACTCAGCAGATGCTGAGAAGGCCTGTCCATCTGCTGTTGGGACTTCTCTAGTAAATACTCAGAGGTAGCATACCTGGTGCTGGTTTTCATGGAGAAAATTGTATTAGAGAACATAAAACATTGTAAGTATTGTTAATTCGATCTGCAGACACCCAGAGGAGAATCATAGTCTTTTCTAGGTATTTCCAACTTGAGTTTAATCTGAAGCCTTAGAAAGGAATGCATTACCAAATGGCCACACACGAAGTCCCTGCCGGAATTAAAATGTCTCTGCAGCCAGATAGCACGTGGTGTCTCCACCAAACTAGGCATTCTCCAGATTGCCCAGGAAGTGGTATGAGGAGACCGCCAGCCTAAGATCTGCTTGTTTATCTCATTCACAGCATTCCTTTCAGCCTTCTGGAACTCTTGATAAAAGGAAGCCAGGATGTTGTCAATTTTCTGCTGTCGATTTCCCAACAGCCTTTGGATCAGTTGTTACCCACACTTTCTTCTCTGCCTGATTCCATTTTTCTGAAAGGAGTATTGTACCCATGTATGTGTGTTTTCTTTAACACGGGTACATGAAAACTTGACTCCCAGTTTTGGTGTATGTTGCACAGCCTGGAAACCAGGGAATGACAGCTATTGGTATGGTTTCTCTGTTCAGTGAAAAATAGATTTCATTGGGATTCATTTTCTTTTTTATCTACAGAATTTTTTTAAACTGTTATTGTAAAACTACCCTTAAAAAATTAGGAAGTTTTCAAGGTTAGCTCCAAAAAAAAGAAATTAGCTCTATAATAGGAGCAGCCATGTGACAGTTCTGGAACTTTAACTTAGAACTTCATTAATTTAAGTGTGGAAAACACCCTCCAAGTTTGATTTCCCAAAATTTCATTAAGCCTCTGAGTTCAACTCTTTGTTTGCTCACATAATCATTTGCCTCCACAACTATCTGTTGTCATGGAAGAGGGTGATGGTTAGGTTGTGGATTTGATTTTTTTCAACTTGCAGTGAGAAATAGGATAGGTGACCAAACCTTACTTGTTTCCTTAAGACAATTCAGTGCTCGAGCATCTCTGTCAGAAATGGAATGATGTGCTGTTACCAATTAGAATTATTTTATGTATTGTTATTGTGTTTTGCCGATTTTTATATGAAAATATAATTATTCATTCTCGATTTCTGGAAGCAATCATTATTATGATGATCATTTTACTTTGGAAACACTTTCATAATAAAGATAAGTATTAAGAGTGCAGTGTAAGTGCCCTTTACTGGAAGCGCTAACCAGCTTGTATTGGTAATATGTCACACCTTCCTGGATGAGGTTATGAAAGG